TGTTGTGCATGAGAATTCCCAACACTATTTAATTAGCGGACGAGGAGCGAGGAATAGTAAAGCGTTAAGAGATTAACCTTTATTGTTCGACATCATCTAAGTTACGTGATGTTTCAATCCCAATCCTGGGAGATCTGAGATAAGCAATTAATTAGTCGTGAATCTACAACTATTAGATCAGCATTAGAACTATAAGGAGTAGCAAGTTTTGCTATCAAGGAAATTCAGATTAAGATAAGGAATTCGGATGGAGATAAGAAGAGAGCGATACCGAGATTCTAGAGGTCTTCCACAAGATTCATCTAGATCTCAACGAGACCGAGATCAACGTAGCGATATCGAGATTCTAGGGATCTTCCGCAGAGATACATCTAGATTTCGTCTAACTCGAGACTCTAGGGATCTTCCGCAGAGATACATCTAGGTCTCAACGATATAGAGATTAGTTATTGCGATACGGAGGTTCTAGAGGTCCCTCCATGGGAAGCATCTAAGCCTCACCTAGACAAACGAGCGTTAGATATCTGACGGAAAGAGGCGAGTCTCTAACTGAAGGATCTAAAGGGAAGCGTCCGAGACGTTACACCTTCTTGATCGCCAACCGTGGCACCCAAGAAGCTCATACATGAATAAAGAACAGAGAGTCCGGCACCTTTCTTTGTCTTTGGATGAGTACTGCTGGTCTAAGAGGGACCTTTCCCCCCCATGGGCATGACAGTTGGTATTAGGTTGGTAGAGAATTCAAATCATATCAAATAGTAACTCAATAGTAACTGGTATTATTAAAATTTGAGTATGACGTCATATTGTTGTCTACATTCAATACTAACCCGACTATACTGTATCGAGGTATGTCACTGATGGAATTTGTATTAGTCATAGGGTTAGTATTGGGTTAGTATAATTATGTTATCTTATGTTATCTTATGTTATCACGACTTATTATCTCATCATACCACAACATAACACAACACAACTTATTACAACCAAACCAAACCAAACCACAACTCAACTTATTATCTTATCATACCACAACCCAACACAACCCAACATAACTTAACACAACACAACATAACTTATCACAACCTAACATAACTTAACACAACACAACCTAACACAACCTAACTCTTTATTTTAATAGCCCTAGTAAAGATGATCAGATCTCGTTATTTGGGTTTAACTTGTTTGTTTATATGGTTGGCGGGTTATGGAGCTACTTGTGGTGATGATATAAACCGAATCATAACGTTTATTGATAGGTATTTTACTTTGATGCGTATGGATATTACCCAGGCAAGTGAGGTTGTTTTGAGCCCGGGTCGATTGGAGGCTGTGATAGATAAAACGAATTTGCCTACTGGTGGCGTTGAGTATTGTGTTGTGTTGGCTGATTATAGCATTGTTGTTTCCAACTATTCCAAAATTCATCGAAACCTTTGGAGGGACTTGAAAGGATTGGTTGTGGGTGAGAACAGATTGCGTATTGTTTGCCAGAAACTATCCATTCAAGATAATGCTGAGATTATGCCCGAATCAGAGGCTTCTGTTTGGGTGCTGAAACCCTTGCTGGCTCGTTTTGATTGTGTTAGCCTGGGCTTTTTGCTGCCTTGGAGTTATACTCAGCTGGAAATGGCCGGGCCGGAATGCTTGACGAATGCTGGTTACGTGCACCCGTTCCCAATAAGTGTGACTATAGATGAGGTTTCTAAGACAGCTATTTGTTATATACTTAAGAACTGTCTATCTGGACCAATCAGGTCTTTGATTATCACTGGCGTTTCGGACACAGATGTAGATTATCTCGATATCCCTAACTGGCACGAAAAGTACACCATTGGATTGTTTGGTTGCTTGTGGTTGAACCGGATCGTATTTCCTAAGAATAATACCCCAGATAAGGTCTGTATTTCATTAGGCTTGTTTGTTGATTCTGCTAGTTTTCAGATTGAGGGACTAGTTGGGTTTTTGAGCTCCCATCCAAATATTGCTTTGTCCTTGTCATGGGAAGCTTTCGTGGTTATGGCTTCTAGTCAGGCCGAAGTAGAGTTGCCTTTGCGTATTACCAGACTTAGAGTTTTTGGTGACTCCTTATTTAAGCCGTGTGTTGTTTCTACTGAGACTAGGCCGGTGTGGCTGGAGGCTTTGTATAGTGAACTTATATTTACAGATGTTATACTCTGTGGCCGACAAGAGTACTTGCTAGAGATAGCACGGGCGAAGTGCCTTACACCTTATGGAGTTAAAGTGGGTGATATAAGCTTAGTGGCGGCTAATGCACCGACTGATTTTGTGGATGCTACCATAAGAAGGTTAGTACGGCTGGGGATGGATGCCAAAGCAGCTAGTTGCTGGAAGAATGTTGATTGCCGAGTAGAAGGACAGCGTGTGCCGGGGTTAACTATACCGCCCTTTGAAATTGATGTGAGTGCCGATCGTCTGGCGAGACATATTCAAAGGTACAGAAAAGGGACCGGCCGCTTCTTTTGCCAGCACCTAACCTATCAGCAGATAACTCTTACAGGAAAAGCGAGCCCGGCCATGAATGAGGAAGCTAATCTGAAAGAACTTTTGACTTTATTTGGAGACATTAGAGCCACTCGACTAGTAATTAAGAACATTCGCCTAAACCAGGCAGGGAAGTGCTTCTTGAATAATCCACGATTGCATCGACCAAGTAGCCAAGCCAGCGATCAAACAGCTCTGAAATACTTAGGAGAAAATCAGATAGGAAAAGATCGAACGACTATTACTGAGTTGGTTTTTGATAATGTTGAGTTGTCAGTGGCCGCGTTCGTTATTGAGCGGTATCTTTTTCTAAACCCAGTCTCTATCTACATCCAAGCGCCTATTATCTCGGAAAAGGGAATAGTCAAATTAGTTGCGCATTTAGCCAAAGATAACGTAGCCCAAATACTTATTGAGGTTAGTCAGACGGAGTTACCAATACTCGTGGGAAATGTAGGCGCAGTTAGTTCTAGTTTGGATAAGCTCTATTTGGATGTGGTGGACTTGGACCACTACAGTTGTTTAGCCAAATTAAAGGAAATCAATGCGCCAGTAGAACTTCAAGACCATTTGGCCATGGGACTAGCCCAATACTTTCAAATGCTAGATAAAATTAGTCTGGAATGTCACTACCAGAAATATCAAAGTATTATGATATGCTTCTCCTCAATGGCAGAGTTAGAGACTGATTTGCAGAACTGTTTGAAACAGCAGGATCAATCGGTTCTAATGGTTTCAGTTAAATGTGTATGGCTGAAAATTGATAGCGTCTGTTTTTCGGCTGCGCAGCTACAAAGTATCTTGCAATGGGTGAGTGGCCGATTTACCGGTGTAGAGTCTATTTATCTCAAATTCCCCTCATTGCACCAGAAGGTCCATGCACACTTGAGCCAAAATGGAATTATAGCGTACAACCTCCCCGATCTAACTAAGCTTCAAATTAAAGCAACAACAATTTTGGCCCAATCTTCAGCGAACATAGAAGCTAGCAATAATCTAGCCAATCCAATATATGTTGATGTTGTGCAAGCGAGTGAGTTGGGGGTTAGTGAGCACACTTTTGCCGATAGTATTGTTCTACTCTCCTTGGAAACCGCCAAGAAGTTAAGGAAATGCTCGCTGGACAGTCGAGCCTTAGCTCAAACAAAGCACAAACGGTTCTACGAGCACATATCGCTCTATTTAGGCTCTACTAATTGGGATGATCTTAAATGTGGCGTGTGTTTATTGGGATTTGCTGCGGAAGAAACGAAGCCGGCCTTGGATGTTTGTGTCCTGTTGTGCAGCCATATAATATGTCTTGGCTGTGCTGCAAGACTGGTTCAATCCTATACACTTCAGGACTTAGATGAATACCAAGGCCAGTTACCGGATGTATTTAAGGGTATTGTATGTCCTATTTGCCGCAACATAACCGGCTTCCTTACCAAGCTGGTGGGCATTTCACTATCTTCAGGCAGAGGCCAGGAGGAATTTGAAAGTCGCACAATTCCTAGCGTTTTCTTACACGCACTGGCTGATGCCCGAATTTGTCACATGCTTTTGGCAAGGCACGCCGACAGTTAGCATTCACTTGCTTGGCTCCAATTAATAAAGTGAACTCCATACTAACCCAATACTAACAACTTAGCCCATCTAAATCCAGACTAACATAACCTAACTTAATATCATATATTCTCTTTATTTAGAGTTGTTGTATGACATAAATGTCACAAACTGGTTCATACCAAGGTGACATAAATTTGGATCAAAATACTTATTTATCTTGGGTGGTAAATCAGATCTTATTTATCCTTTCTAGGATTTGGAAGGTATAAATAAGAGTGCATTTAACAAATACATTGTAGTTACATGACCCGGCCAAAACAAGTGGAGTGTCTAATCTATGCACATGCAATTCAGCTACTTTTTTGAGTCTTGCCTAGCGGCTTTATTATATCAAGATCAAGTAAGTTGTAGTATTTCATCAAAACAAAGGAAACTCCAATCAGTATAACAAGACCCAAGGAAAGAACATATATCCTGGTGTATTTGATCTCGGTTTGCTGTGGAGTTGGTGCAGCAGTCTGATCGTCTTGTATAAGAACAGAGTAAACGTCGATTATAATGCCAAAGATAAACAGACTGGCTGAGAAAATAAGGACTTGTGATCTCAGTAAAATCCCGGCTTCAGGCAAACGACCACAGAGAACAAGAATCGGTGGAGCCAGGGCAAGCAATGCTGCCAAAACGTACAGGAGATTAAAGACGCGTTGAAAGACAGGCGTCAGGCGGGAATGGGTGATGAGCTTAGTCAGAAAAGAGATAAAAACGACCAGTATAGTACCACTCATTAAAACTCGAGAGACCATCTGGCTTTTCTCGTAGCTAGGCATGTTCTTATTGATTAGTAGATGGTTTGCAGCCAGTAACAGACAAATGGTGCATATCAATCCCGCGCTTATGGCAACAATAGTATATATCTTGTTTGGTGTCTTTCCCTCGGTAGGAGCAGCGTTTCTGGCTAGAACAGTGGCGAGCAGACCAATAGAAATGATCACTAGTGGAGTAGCTGAGAATAGAATTGCCGGCGAGACAAAAGCCAGGCATAGAAGATCAATTACAAACAACATGACAAAGCTAATTATACCTATTAAACTAGTTTTGGCCATGGGGTGGCTTTTGAAGTCGGTGTCTTCCGACGGGATGTATTCAAAAGTTATCCGTTCGAAATCAGCAGGCGCTAGGTACCGCTTTATAACGAAGAGAAACATGTAGAATACACTTGGGTTGGGGGAGTGGACTGTATAGGTTGCTGGGATAGTGCAGAGCCAAGTTGCGGCTGCTTCGAAGTCGTTTGAAGGAAGCTGTGAGCGAGGAGTGATTCGGGAGAGCGTTATGGTTTTTGTCGCGGTGTTATAGCTATAGGCAACTCCTCTGGCGGCGAGCTCAATGTTAAGGGGGTGGAGGTAGGCTAAGAGTTTGCTTCCTCGCAAGAGGTCATGTGACTCCTTGTTCTGAATGAGTGTGCTTTCATACAGCGTCTTAACCATAGCGCTATACAGATAACTCTTGACCTTGGGGAAATGGGCTTCATACGTTTCTTGGTCAAAGTAGATTCTTGAGATCAGCTCAGGTATCCAGTCAATCTCATTGGCTGTGAACAACAAGGGGAATTCAAACCGTCGAATGAGGTTCGTAAGAAAGGTATGATAGATACTATTTGGCCGAGTGATTAGCTCAATGTTCTTGTTGTTGGCCATGGCCACGAAAAACATCGCTATGCTCAGAATATGCTTGAAGTTATTAATCTCTTGGTCCTGTGCCCGGGCATACGAACGTTTAAAGTGATTGGCGTCGAACAGACAATAAGCTAGTCTGGCTATTTTCTTGACATCATTTGGGTCGCAAGTACGGAAGAGTAGAGTGTATGCGTATAAAAATCTAATCGTTAAAGCATGTGGTGCTACCATGTAAATACGTTGATTGGGTTGAGCTGGGGGAACCGAAGAAGCATATCTGGTGGATTGATCACCTGAATCTAAATTGACCTCGAAAAGTTCTGGTTCATTGTTAGGATCATTGGCGGGTATACTTGTAAAGGTACTTGGTGTGCTCTGCCTGCTGGATTGGAGTGGGCTGCTATCTGTTGTATCTGAATTCTGTTCTGGTGGGCTGTTTATAAGGAGTTCAATATCTTTGAGATTCCAATAGTTGGAGCCGGGCTGAAATTCCTGGCATAGGTCTAGTATTTGCTTTGCAATGTCTGTTTTGGCCTCATTACTTTCAGGTGTGCCATCGAATAAATCAATGTGCGGAGCGGAGAGGAAAATTGCCTGTAGTCTTTGGGCCCAATCTAATCCAATGTTAGCCAAGATTGGGATGGTCGGGGCAGTGTTATGCATGCGTATATATTCACGGGGGGTGGTAGCGATAAGGTTCACAAAGAAGAACCCAGCCCACACAAGTGCTAATAAGCGCTGATGACCATTTATCATTTTGGTGTTCATCATTGCAACTAAAATTACCCGTTGGTTATAATCATAAACAGGGGTAGATCTGATACGCAATAACCAACAAGGAAACAAAATAACGAATGAATAAACAAGCAACATATGTTGATTTAAACCAATACCAACTTAAGACCAATTTAATATTAGATGAATACTGTTATTACTGCAATGATCGCGCAAAGAAGTGCGCCTATTGCAATAAGCACTCTGGGATCAGTTAATGGGGTTTTAACGGCATCTGGTAGTGGTGTGAAAGGCACGTCGGATAATTGGATTTGTTTGCTTGGAGGGCAGTTATACTCCCAGGCTAGGGAGTTAAAATCGATAGACATAATTTGCGCCTTATTAGCAGGCGGGAGATCTTTATAGACCAAGAGCCTCAGAGACATGAGCGAATCTTCATTGGCACGGACTGTGTTGTTGGTGGAGTTTTGGTCAACATAGAGGGTGTAGAATTTTTCGCTGAAGCCGCTTTGGATCATATCAGCTATATGTACCTTGGATCCATGGAATCGGAAAATACATGCAAAACAAACTACCTGAATGCTATTTATGAAGAGCGCACAGATGTTGTTGTCTTTAAGGCCGGCCTCGGAAAAGATCTCGGACAGCAAACCGCCACAGATATTACAGGTTGCATTTGATAGGACAATCTTGTTGAAACACGACTGCATCTTTTCGTTGCATGACTCAAGTGATCTCTCGTGCTCAGGAACACTGCGGTTAGCCTTTTTAAAGTAGGAACTATTATGCTTTTGGATGTACTGGTAGATTTCAGTGGTGATGGCATAGAAAACAGGTGGAGATCGGTAGAGTCTCGGTGAGAACTCGTAGGGGCCTATCGGCCTTTCGTTATAAATGCGTATACTAACATGGGCGTCTATAATATTGCTGTCTGGGGAGCGAGATTTAGTCTCTAAGTTGACTAGACAACTGGCAACATTGATCGGGTGGCCGGCATAAGTAATGACTAGGCATTCTGGCTGGAAACGATGGCGCACATCCCTTTGATCAATGCTACCGTGGGGGGAATCGAAGTTGGGAATTTCCAGACTGCAGTATTTGAAGCAAGGGAAGTAGACTTTGGCCCACAGAAGAATGGGGCGGAGTGCGTTGAGTGTTTCTGCGATAGGCAGTTTGGTGTTTTTGCAGGATTTCATGAGCGGGTATACGGCCGGCGCGGGGTCTTCGAAGGTGTTAGGCGGGGTTGGCATGGGAATGTTGATAAATTTAACAACACGTGGAGTGGCCTGGGCGCTCATGTCTAGTGCGTACTGTTTTTGAGTAGTGGTAGGATATTGGCACGCTTGGGTTAGGATGTCTAGATTTTCTTTGAGCTTTTGGATATCGTTGTTGAAGTCAACACAGACGATAGGGGGTAGCATTAAATCATGAAGTGTCTGAAGGTGCCTAATGGCCTCGGAATTCTTGTAGTGGGAGGGCAGAATACAAGTTATAGAAGCCATGGTGTGGGCCCAGGCTTGGACGCTGCAGGTCTGGTCGGGGGGGACGTCTGTCCAGAGGCTGAGCCTGACGATTTTGGACTTGGACTGGGTGGAGTCGTAGATCGGCTTGCCATTGTAGAAGAAGTTGATAATGTTACCAACACTCGGCCCGAGACCATATGATGGTGCGTACAAGTATATCGAAGGGTAGCAAGGGCTGTGGGGCGAGTAGTATTGTGAATGCTGGACGTGTTTCTGAATGGTATCGAAGCTGTCATCGCCAACTCGCGGCTTGAGGTAGATAATGGTTTGGCGATTCCGGAAAAGAACGTACTCTAGGATAAAGTCCACAAGCTCTTTTAAGCAGCGGTCAAAGTAGATATACTTAGCCCCTGTGCGGAAGTCGGTTCTCCGGTCTTTGGCCAAACTCTTAATTTGGCCTATTATGCTACGATCGATCCTTTCCCGCACTTCCTTTTCCTCAGTTTGGGACATTGCTGTGTTGAATATGACATTGGTGTCATCGTTTAGGTGGGTTAAAAGTATTCCAACATGTAATAGGGGGTTGTTGTCGATGATGAGCGTGTCAGTGAGAGTCACGTTGCGAATGGGATACGGGGTACTTGTGGTTGCGGGGGTAAGAATCTTGAGGGCCTGAGCCGCTTGTGCTTGTAAATTGCTTGCGCTTTTTGGGTTAGCATCTAGGTTAGTGGTGATGGCCAAGTCCATCCAAATTTGGTTGTGTTTTAAGATGGGGTTGGTAGACAAACGGGTGGAGGTATACGACCTGGAGTAGCAACTAATGGCAGATATTGAGTTGAAGAAGAAGAATAACTCGATGTCTGGTCTGAGGTTGCCAAGGCCGACGATTGCAAAGGAAGTGCTTGTCTCGGGTTGGATAGAGCTTATAAACCTAGTGTGCTCCTGGATCTTGATTTTAAGCTTGTCAAGTTCTACATTGGTAATGGGGTCAAACTCTTCATCGGTGATATCAGTATTTTCGTTTAGCTGCGCGCTTCCTGGTTGAATCTTCACGTAGTCAGTTAGGGTGGACTGAATAATCACATTGCGTGTGGCGGTAGTGCTTATCCAGGGGGTGATTAGCTTGAGATATAGGTTATCTTTGGCAGAGATTGGGTCAATAGGTAGATAGTTGCTGCTTTTTAAAACATCGTCGATGATAGTGTGGATGATTTTCTCATGGTCATATCCGACGTGGACTACTTGCAGGGTGGCTTGAGTCATTTCCGCGGCTTCTAAAGGCATAAGCATGCGCATAGTGGCTAATATGGCGTAGTCTATGGATAGAGAGCGAATGGTGTTGCGTTCCAGTAGGACGGCTAGGATGTCAGCGTCAATCTTAAGTGATTGCCAGTCACCACGAGAGTGGTGGTGGCTGCGATTAGCGGCACTGTCCAGCTGGTACAGACCTAGATGGGCACAAGGTACTTCATTGCTTAGAATATCACTAAACCCGGGCTGCCACTTCTCGTACACAATGTCCAGCTTATAATCCTCGGCCCATTGAATGCATGTTCTTACTTCAGGGGTTTTGGGCCAGTCGGAACCAACAATCACTAGTTCGGACAAAACGGCGTAGTAAGAGTAGACGCAATTTATAACCAGGCATACCGCTGTCGGGACAGAGACAAGCATTATTTTGGGCTGGTATTGTCTTGGAATGCTCTCTCTCAACGGCGTGGTTATCAGAGCCGGGATTGTTATGTCACTCATTGGGCTAACCTTCAGGGTGTACTCAATGTATATTTGGGGCGTGTCAACGGAATAAAGAAGCTGTTGCAATAGGCCATAGAAAGCAATGGGGTTGGAAGCCACTCCACAGATCCGGACGGCATCTACTTCAATGGTGTGAATGTTATCAAGAACCCGAGCGTACTGGTTCAGACAGTCTACGAATAGCATCTTGGAGGCATCCAGCAAGACATCGAGCCGGAACTTACTTTCTTCAATGAATCGAATACCAAGGCTTAACGGCTCCTTCGGATCATAACGAATTAGATGAGATGGGCTTAGTTCGATCGAAGCTACGTGGTTTGTGGTTGGGTTAGCCCTGTCTATTGGGTGGAAGGTGAAGATTTGTGATAGCTGTTCGCACAGTTTGAAATGCATGCTTTCGTATTCTGAAGGGTCGAGCTGCCTTGCCATTGCTGGAGTAATTGTGTCATCGGTCGAGTTGTATCGTGGTTTTGAATCGCTGTGGTTGAGCATTATGGTTTTCTGCGGCTCTGCCCCTAGTATATAGGCGAGTAGTAATAATAATATGGTTAAGGGATTCTTATCTTGCATGTTATTTCAAAATTAGTTATATTTATATTTGAGTTTTTGATAAGGACTTAATGATTAATTTAATGGTTGTGTTCTCTAGACGAGTGATAGATGGCTTGGTGGTGTGTAATTAGGGCATGGTCGTGGCAATCTGAATAAATAATTTCCTTAAAAGGCAATTTTATGTGTGCTTCAAAAGCTCGGCATTGATTCGAATTCAATTGATGCCGGATCTAATCAAATTATGTTCTAGGATGCCTCATTGTCATAGTAATGTGATAATTAAGCATGGTTTAATTATATCTAACTGGGGTGTCATACGACCACTACCCCACCTCAATACCAACACAATACCAACACAATACCAACACAATACCAACCTAACTCAATATCAACACAATTGGATTCTTTAACCATTTTATTTTGCATATCTAATCTATATTTTGACCTTATGCTATCGCCACGTTCCCAACTATACTTATCTAATAAAAGGTCCCGCTCGCCTCAAGACAAGTCGTTAATAGAGCATACGTTGGCTAAAGAGCCATACTCATCCCATGAACCTTGTGCTGTGTATGAATGGATGCATGTTATGCCCTACACTCGCAACCCCTGGACTGAACTAGACCGAAAGAAACCCGGGTTTTTGGTCTTTACTATCCTTGCTTGTGTGGGAGTATTAAGCCAGCTTATCAATGCCACCCAAAAACAAAGTGACAAGCCCCGAAAACGAGGCACGAAGCGTACTCATGAAAGTGCCAATTTACCTATGGCCAATCCCAGCCCCAGCACTTCTAACTGTGTTGATAATAAGGATACACAGCCTCACAACTTCGTCATACCTCTGCTAGATCGCAAACAACTAATTGACACCCTGCGCCGCTGTTGGTTTGATACTTCGCAGACTAACCCAAGCCGGACACTATATAAAATCAAAAACACTATGGATTCGGTCTTTTATATCATCCTGACCCACGAACAAATAGAAGGATATATGATACCAAACGGTTTCATGATGTTTTATATGTCTCGTCACACTCTAACCAATAACCAGCCCGATTGCCCGCCGGTTATTGGGTGTAAAATTGATATAATGAGGAACAATGCCGCGATGCATACAATTTCGTCGATTGATACTACCTTAGAGGCACTCTTTGCGGCAAACCCAAATGCCGGCAACTTTCCAGTGATCCTCGAGTGGTTAGTGTATAACGATAAGGCCAATCTTACTCCTAGTGCTCTTCTGGAGCATGGAATGTGTGGTCTAGCATCCACTAATGCAACACTTCTCATTGTTAATCCGCCGAACACATTTACAATTCATTCTTCCCGCCCAGCGAAGCCGAAACCATCTAAAACGCCTCTTCCCCAGATGACGAAGAAGTCTCGTATTAAGATTCGAGAATCACCCATTATCTACTTGAAGTTTATAAATAACCACAAGCACCGCTTTTTTAACATCACTATCTTGATACATAGTATTACGAATCAGAGCTCAACCTTGCCCCATCAGGTTTTAACTACTGAACAAACGCACAAACTCTCCGAATCTGAAAAGCATGACTTAAAAAAAGGCTCATACCAATGTGGGCACCTGTATTACTTCTTCCATTCCGATCTGCGGTTCTTTGGTGTCGTATGTCTCGATAACAGCGTGACTATAAGTCTGTGCCATGTTATTCCTGAGTCTTGGGCTCGAAATAAGCCTGACCTGCCCCGGGAGTTGGAGAAGCTCATTATTTATATGCCATACACTGTCGATAGTTTACTAATGAGGCCTGTAAGTCTTCCTGTTAAATTCTTTGCTATCTGCCATCCGGGCTCCTCGAGGTTTCTGGCTGCCATGCAAATGGCTATGCTCACCACTAATGAAGTGACCACCGCAATGATCTATCTCTCAAAAGGCTACATTAAGATCACTTACAACTCTAACGCCATAACCAAGATTCACGCAAATACATTTGAGCAGTCCACCGACCTAGCATCCACCGTCCGTGCATTTAAATGGCTTCAGCCGCACGCAATCAACTTAAAACTAACAATGAGACATACCATAGCCTCTCCAATCCCAGAGATTAGTTTAAATAAGCAGGCAATTCCAGACAAGTGGACTCAAGCTATAATCCATAAGAAGTTGCCAGCAATAGTCCCATTAGACTACGATGCCATTGTTTCTCTAGTCCGCGAACATTTCAATATCAATCCTAACCCAATGCCATAACAGCCACTGCCCAAACCAATCTTTATTTTACAGTTGTTTAACCTGTGCGCGGATATGTCCGCGTATGTCACAAACCCCAACCGAATTGTTGGGCTCAATTTCACTAGAATAAAGGATGGTTTAAACTTGCTCATTAAGTTAGTATTATGTTGTGTGGTGTCCTCGCCGGCCTCCACTTCAAAGTGAGTTGTCTACAGGAGCAAAGTTCTGTAATGTTTATCGGCTTGGCACTGATCGCAGCGAACGCGATTAAATCTCGAATTAGAAATCACAAGCTCAGATTAGTATTTATATTATGAGTTTGCAGACTATCTCAAGATGGCGTACGATAACGAGAACTTAAGTTATACCAACTCAATACTAACCACTTCAAAATCGGTCTTTAGTCGAATATGTTTGGTTGAAAGGTACTATCCCTTCCCCGGGGCACGACAGTTAGCATTGAGTGTTACAGTTGGTGTTGAGTTGGTGTTTTGATTAATTTGTTATTTTGATTTGGGATCGGGATTGGTGAATTTTAACAAAAACTAAACTCTTCTCTTTTCGACTAAGAATAGGTTTTATTCTGATTTTTCTAATAAATGTTCATAGTGCTTTCAAAGATAACCTATAATCTAGTTTATTAAACTTAGCTTAACTCGATTCAATACTAGAAAGTGCGCTCAACGAAACACATTTATCTAGTACTGCTCTACAGTCGGTTAAGATAACTCTCTACTCATTCCATTGGGTTGGGTTAGTATTTGGATGATATTTAATTGGTATGTGCTTGGTATTGGATTGGGAATGTTCGAGATGGTTCGGGTAAGGGTAAGAAGTAAACAGGACTGTTTGGATCAAAGTAGAATGGCTAGGATTGTATTAGCAAAGAGAGTTGGCAACTGTTTGGCATTCAAGATTAGCTTCTTGGCTAGTGTTCCTTGAGATCATTATTTAGGGTGGATAGATCATTGTAGGGAGAATAGAAATAGATGTGCTGGTCTGAGAATGCCGTCTTTTTGAGCCACAGAGGAACATCAGTGGTGGCATCGGTGGCATCCTTCTCGACAAAGACAATGCTATCTAGAGGAACACTTTTCAGTAGATGGATGCTCAAAAACTTCCCGGACTGTTTGCATTCTGGGCAAAAATCGTTATCCACGGCATTAACGGCACACGTAAGACACATTATGTGTCCACACGCGGAGTAGACGAAGAATGTGGGTGTTAGGTTAGTGTTGGATTGGGAGTCCAGGGTGGCTATGTTTTCTTGAATGGTGTAGAGAGCATCAAAACAGATCGAACAACCTCTCTGCTGATAAGGATCGACTTTATTGTCGAGCCGCTCTTTGAGTTTGTCTATGATTATTTTGAGTGATGGATGGAAATTTAGGTGTGCAGGAACAATAGAAGCTATCGGGCCGGGGCAATTAAGAAGGTTGGCGAATCGCGACAAGACTGTAAATGGCACTACAACACAAGCAGGCTCAGTATTTGAGATGGCGGCCAGTAAGATATTCTGGTGGCAGTGCGGGATAAGGTTTACCTTCAGCGCGTTTTGATGTTCATCTTCTATCCAAAGATAATAAAGCCAACAATGCAGATCGTCAATCAAATAATAACGACAAGAAATAACAGCTTTCTCATTTTTAGAACACGCGGCATTTTCTATCCATAAGTAGGTTGGCTTCTTAAATCGATAAGCAACCCATCGAAGAGTGGCGATTAAATCAGCCTCGGTTCGAAACTCGCCGGTCTTAAAGTGTAAGCGCAAACAATGGATTGGTTGTATTGGGTTAGTATTTGAGATAGTATTTGAGATAGTATTTGAGATAGTATTTGAGATAGTATTTGAGTTAGTATTTGGGCAGGGTATAGTTGATTTACTGACCTGGAGCATGGCCGTGTCATTCTTTAAGTCTTCTATACTGATGCCGAAAATAGTATAGCCGACTTTCTCCAATGCGTAAGGGAATAGGTGGCTAGATGATGGGTTGGTGAGGATGTCTTCAAATGAAATGCATGGAAGTTGAACGTTAAGCTTTCTAAATGTGTGAACAATCCTAGCATGCAGATCAAAGTCGATCTTCCCTGGGTTTATAACCAGCTTATGGAGGTTGAGGTTAGTATTGGGTTGGTTGAGCAGAGAATTATCCCTCACATAGTTGAAGAGCAAGAATGTCTTAAGGTCGTTTTGCCGGTCAAAATATGCCACTTCATCTAGTGCATGCCAATCATAGACAATGAGAGATGAGATTGATTGGCCTATGGGAAAAGAAAGGATTTGGGCAATGGCAAGGTTTTGGAATTGTTGGTTCTTAAACTTCAGTTTGATCTTAGTGCTAAACCTGTACCTCTTCAAGATACAGCAAATAAACGACTCGTCTACATTGCTGAAGACTAGAGTATTAATGTTAGCGGTGTATTGTGGCCTGTCAGTTGAGTTTAAGGCGCTCCAATCACTAACCACAGTTTTACAATTGTCAGTCCGAATGTTGGAGATCTGAACCTTAGCAGCCGTGATGTTCAGGAATAGGTTTAGGAGCTCAATACAGAGGGAAGCTAAGCTCGCGTCTGGTGCTTCCTTTCCATTAATGTGGATGTTCTGGTAGTGTATATTCTGGCAGAAGAACGAGCCGGTGCAGTGCTTGTACTCCAAGATTTTGTCATTTAAGCACTGGTTGTCAAGCTGTATATCGATTATGGCTGGCGGCCTCCAATAGGATTGGTTGAGAGAATCACCCTTGCAACATACAATCAGGTTTGGATTGCTTTCAGGACGTGGTATTGCCTTGATTTTCCAAAGAAGCATTAGGGTATCATATAAGTCTGTCCGGTTTTTAACATACTCAATCTGAATATTTTGAACTATGATGCCAAGATTAGCAAAAGCTTGTGAGGTGTAGATGCTCCTGTATAGTTCTTTGCATGGCATTGCCTTAGGAATTAAAAGCATCGCAGTTTTGGCAAAGATTCTAGGTTCCATTGGCGTTGGGTTATCATGGGCTTCAATCATCATTTGAGCGGACTCTGTAGTTATTTCAGGACCGTAAATAATATCAACACGGACATGATGCAGGCACATCTTATACAAAAATATAAGATTGGCCAAGCGTGCTTGCAGAGTTAGAGGTGGAGGGTTATTAGCATCAGAATCATTGGGCGTGTTGTATAAATTTATCCCTATCTGTTTTTCGTCCAAAGATACGATGCTGGTATGTTGGCATCTGGGATGGTACTTTTGAAGGTCCGTGAGATTAATCTTATTGGACGTGGAGGCAGAGGCACTGGTATAAGGTCTATTTTGCCAAAAGATGCAACTGGGAATCTCCAAGATCGGATGAATCTTGTCCGGATAGTTCGATAAGAAAAATATCACTGGCCGCGCAAATACTAGCCCGTAGGCCATTAAATCAGGAATCAAAGCCTCTGCAGCGTATTGAATAAGCACAAGGATCTTATTATTATGAGTAATGTAGCTGGCTGCACTCCTTGCTTCACTCAAACACTCATCCAACTCCGCATGGCCAATACATGTGTTCAGTGCATGGCCAGTAGCAATATCAAGTACAATCTGTGTGCAGTCAACCATGTTAATCACTCGAGAAACAAAAGAAGAGTTTGATATGCTACAGCTTGTGTAGCTAACATACAAGACATTAGTCTTAATAACAGCAATATCACGTAGCAGATATAGTTTCACACCGAGTTCCGTTGGTGTTTGTTTTTTGGCTATCTGAAAGGTCAATTTCTTGTTTTCGCAGTTCACTGTATATATGGGCAACCGACTTGGTGGCAAAATGTGTGAGTTTGATATGCTGCTGTCAGGAGAAACAGATTGGGGTTGGATTGGGTTAGTACTAACCAGTTTTTGATTTAGATTCGGCCCGTAATAATCAACTCGCACCATTAGTTCATCTTTATCAGCATGAAAGCCAATTCTTAAGAGATCGCCAATCATTTGCTGCGAGCTTGGTAGTTTGGGAAGTTCTTTTATACGCGAGTCCTCAACTGCATTTGAGCTAGCAATACCACTCAAAAGAACCAGCAGGATATATAACCCAATACTAATCCATTGTCTAACAGAGACACCCGGCCAAATCTTAGCTACAGTGCTACTGCTTATTACAGAAGTACTCGGGATACATTGACTGCTGTTTCTTTGCGAGACCTCATAAGAGGCACAAGATTCTAATTGGAATACAGAGTTATTCTGTGCATATGCAGTAAATAGCTTATCGATACGCAAAGATGACAACATAATTTTGGAAAAAGAGCGATTTAAAAAGCACAGACGATTATTAAAAACAACAAAACCAAAGATAGCTATTGAGTTGGTATACAAGTTAGTATACGATTCTGAGTAGTTTCTAGGTCTAATATAGTCTTCTGTAAGTCCTTTATGTATGTCGTAGAGATTCGTAGAAAGTCGTAGAAAGTCTTTTATAGGTCTTCGTCGTATACTTATACTTTAATTGAGTTGGTTTGAGTTAGTATTAGGTTGCTTAAAGCAGTAAGGAATAAATATATGCATTATATGTACTTACTCGTTTTAAAGTAGAAATGATTTGAGAATCTCATTAAGATACGTGGGGAAATGGTACAAACACCACACTAGACATTAGTTGTATAACACCAAATTAGTTTGACATCTTTCTACTATTCTTTATTTTGATAACATTTTGAAATAGCAACTTATAGTTCTTATCTACACAAACCAAAAGAAATTGCATTTAAAATTGATATTGGTATTGGGTTAGTGTGGTGTCCTCGCCGGCCTCCACTTCAAAGTAAGTTATCTACAGGAGTGTAGTGCTGTAATGTTTATCGGCTTGGCACTGATTGCAGCGAACGCGATTAAATCTTGAATTGGAAATCACAATCTCAGATTAGCATTTATATTCCGAGTTTACAGACTATCTCAAGATGACGTACGATAAAGAGAACTTAAGTTATACTAACCCAATACTAACCACTTCAAAATCGGTCTTTAGTCGAATATGTTTGGTTGAAAGGTACTATCCCTTCCCCGGGGCACGACAGTTAGTATATTACCGCGTCCATTGAAAAGAAGACGGTCTCCTTCTGAAGATCACAGCTCAAGTAATGGGTTGGTACTGCATTGTTTTTGTTTTGATTTATCTTTTTGATCCTATCTCTCAAGATGAATGAGTTCATATCGGGCTAATTTCACACTTCTAGTTGTAATTTTGAACTTGAGATAGCCAACTCAGAACTTTCAGAGAATTTAGAATATTTCAAAATATTCGATAGATAGTAGTAGTCGTCTTTATCTTCATAACCAAGTTGTTCGGAAACAGTGGACGGCACAGGTGTTACTGTTGTTGTTTAAGTTGGGTAGTAGTTAGTTAAAAGTGATATTTGAAACAACCAACCCGATCGTATAATAATATTTTTCCTAATTAGGTAATTTAAGTCACAAAAACAGCTGATTTTTTACCTTACAAATGCTTAATCCAAAAAGAAGAACTAGGTTGTCCTTATGGTTACTGATCATTCAGTGCTTGCTTGTTTTAAACTGTCACAAAACATCACAAATCGGTATCTCCTCAAATATAATCAATAGTGTCTTATCACTAGAAGAATTAGCCGCCCTTGACTTTCCCTGGGCCAAAAAGACACTAGAGAGGTACAGAAAAGGCCTGATTACACAAGATGGGTCTCCTTTGATAAACTCAAATGATCAGAAGGAAAAGGATCTATTTCTAAACTTTACCTTTTATAGACTACTAAATCTTAGATGTAATCGTCTACTGCAGGTTGAATATATAGCCTCTCTTCTAAAGACATTATTTGAGTACGGCGGGGCAAGAGAGATTACATTAGACCCACTATTAGACTATACGCCAGACATTCTTATGTTGTATGCTACATTAAGCCAAGATCCGACACAAGCCAGCCCGACTATTCAAAGAACTATCAACCCCAAACACGTTATCTTTGTTGAAAATCTCGCCAGTCTCGCTTTCTATTTAGGCACAGAGGAGGCTATAGATAGGCTTGAAGTGTTGTGTTTAGATTGGAAAGAGTATGTCAAATACACGGGAGTATCTCCAGAAAAGGAAGACAACAAAACATCCGAGGCCATGCGCGCATACAATTTTATTCATAACAAGCTAGATGTTCAACTTTTGCGCAGCACTGCTATATTCAACTACATCCATCCGCTCAACACAAGTCTTTATCTTGCCGGACTCAACTACAAATATGATGCAAAAGAAAAGGCGTTCGTTGTGGTCAAAAATACCATCTTTGATACCGAAAAGGACTGGGCGGTAGGAATCACAGACGTGGCACAGTTTACTTTTAAGGACGCAGTCCGTTTGAGCTATGCTCCTAGCGCCACATACACTATCGTAGTACAGGATGAGTGTCTGGAGACCTTCAAGAATGCAGTAGAACAGTATCTAAGGCCCAAAGAATACAAGAGCTTTCATCGAGACATAAACAAGCACATAAGAACCTTCAAAGAGTACAAAAGATACAAAAGGTCAAAGAGACAAAACTACCACAGTGCAGGCAACGAGAATGGACCAGAGAATTAAAGAATAGGTTACATTCTATAAAATAGCATCACATTGGGTTAGTGTTAGTATTGAATTGGGTTAGTGTTAGTATTGAATTAGGTTAACGTAGTGGTTTTAAAACAGTAGTTAGATCATCTCTAATAAAGCTTCTTTATTCCATTGTGTAAGGTTATGTTATGTTAGGTTAGGATGACCAAATTTCAACCAAAATCTAGACAGACAGGATGGGGTAGGTTTGGCAGAAGGATTCGCTGGTGTTTAGGATGGCCTGGAGGTGCATCCAAACCAACCGATTGGCATTAAATAAACTTTAGTATGTTCAGCATAACCCAATCCTAATACAATCAATAAATTGAGCCCAAACTAACCCAGTCCTAACACAACCTTTTGCCACTAATTTTCCTAAAAAGGAAATTTCGTCATAAAATTTGCAAATTTCCCTTTTAGGAAATTCAGTCTCTATTTAGATCTTTTTTTTGAGGAATTCTAATGCAAAGCGGAAGACAAGATGATACTACCAGCGGAACGGTAGTTATCCATGCTTCTTTTGTTGCGGAAGGTCATGATGCTGGCGCTGGTGGCGCTGATTCTTTCATAGGTTCTCAACCCGTTATTAACTTAGCAGATCCTGACAATACTGTTAACCCTCTCAAAGTAGTAACTTTTAGTTTCTTTGCAGGTGGTTGGGTGGCCGCAGTAGGCCTATTTATGTACGCTGCAATCAAAGCCTATATTGTCATTAGCCCAACAATTCAGTCCTACGAGTTAATCAACGTCTATGGCGTGCAACTACAGTTTATAATTATGGCCAGTTTAGCCGGTCTTATTGGATTGGCTGGATTCATTTATCTTGCTTGGCACTACTATGAGACTGGTATAGGTAAATTAGTGGAATCCAAAAAACGGGCGCTGTACACCGCAATAGCCGTATTGCTCGGTTTATTTAGTGCTGCTGTACTGGCCGCGTTTATTTGGTTAGTTGGTTTTGGAGTAGATCGAATTCTTGAAAATCCCAGTACTATGGGTATAGCATTGGCTGTTGGTGGAGGCTTGTTGGCTGTTCTTTCTATAGGACACATGATCTACCAGGCTTTTGTGCTAAGGAAAGTAAACAGCGAGGGGGAAAATGATAAAAGGTGGTCTTGGAATGCTATTCTGTCTGTTATCATAGTTATAGTGATTGCCGCTGTCGCAATTGGTCTTGTTGTTTGGGGAGTCCTTTTAGCTCGACATGTTGGACTTGACTTTTCGATGACTAGAACAGTTGGGCCAGTAACTCAAGACATTCTAAACAACGCAGAGAAGAACTACCTACTGGCTAAACACAAGAAAATGCATGAGATTAGCACTGCCTACGAAAAGGACTTAGCAGATAATATCCAGAAGAACAAGGAAAGTCTGGAGAAGTTGGAGGAGTTAGGAGTCACAAAACAAAACCTTACTAACGATCTTAAAAAAGCCGCTACTGATCAAGCCCGGGAGGAAATTCAGAAGAAGATCAACGACTTACAAACACAGATTGTTGCACACAATGATGCCGCGGTTATGGAAGAAGCTGCCCGTATCGCGCAAATGGATCCTCATCTGAGAGCGCTCGATCAGGCCAACGAATTAGCGAAACCACTGATCAAAAAGGTGGAAGACTTTGAGAAGACCGTAACAAGTGGCAAGGCGTTTATCGAGAAATATGGGAAGGACGTCGCGCCCGCACTCGAAAACTCTACAAAAGTTATCCAGGATCGTCTTGATGAGGCCTTGATTGACCTTCAAAGGCATAATACTAATATTATTCAACCTTTACAGCGGGAATACGATGCGTTCTTGAACACTCAAAGTCTGGTTGCTGATAAAAAGAAGATTTTTGATCTAGCCCACGAGCATTTAAAGTTATCTGCAAATGGTGCCAAACGCCTTATCTATTCTAACGGCTCTGTCTATGCGGTTGAAAACCTAGCCAAGCAGCCTATAGATTTTATCATGTATGCTCCAGTTGACCTACCCAATGCTAAACCCGAAGAAGTACTATCTACGATGCCCCAACTCAATACTAACCCTCAAATTGGTGACGTTACCAACAACATTGGCTAACCCAACCCTAGTTCAATAAATCAATAGTATCTTACATAATAACACATTAACTACTAACACAACTTAACCCAAACTGTCATGCCCATGGGGGGAAAGGTCCCTCTTAGATCAGCAGTACTCATCCAAAGAGACTTGATAAGAGCAACAAAGATCTCGAAAGAATAAATTGGGTTAGTTTAGTACTTGAGTTGAGTTGAGTTGAGTTGAGTTGGTATTGAGTTGGGTTGAGTTAGTGTAGTACTGCTATACGACCAACCTGATCACTACTTAGTCTAATAACCCTAACACTAATCCAATGCTAACTCACTACTAATCCAATCCTATCACAGAAGACCGTATAGCTCCGAAGAGACTGCGTACAAATGCGGTGATCGTGTAGGTGTAGCTAGAGAAGAAAAGACTCATGGTAATGGTGGGTCCATCCATGGCTGATATATCGGGCCATTTTCCTGGTTTGCTTATGGATATGAATCCCAGCCCTGCCAATCCGAAGAAGATGTGTATAAAAGGAGAGAGGTGAAAAGCCACCTCTTCAATCTTCGTGCGTGGCTATCTTGAATCAGCATCAGCTGCTACTGGCATCAAGTTAGTAGATGCTATGTCAGGTGATGTTAAATTGATAGAATGCATAACTACTTTCTTCGATAAAGAAGCCGGGCTTGTAGATAAGCAAGCAGCTTACGATTATCGCTATTGAGATTTTCCACGGCAATATTTGTAGAATTAGAGCTTGTTGTTTGAGATGTTTATATTTCAAGAGGATCGGCTGTGGCCTGTCCATATCTAGATATGGTCTTTATCTCTGTTTGTCATATCTATTTTGGTAAACGTACTATTAACTATTTTATTTATAGTTTTGAAATTGTGACCGAGTTAGTATCTGGTTGGTATCTGCGGTGGACCAAAACTTCTTTGAACTTGTTGTCTCTAATGCTTGCAGTACTGTATGTCGGTGGCAGTGGTATAAAACGGTCTCCTGGTATTAAAATGTTTGATTGCGATTTTATTGAAATTCTGAGATAGCAAATTTGTATGATAGGTACGCGTTCACAATCTTCAAAGTTCATGCAAATTTGGCACTCTTGTGTTGGTGCCTGGGTCATTATTAGTCTTTTGGTTTGCCAGGCTAGCGGCGGGCCGGAGGTAGCTGGATGTGAGCGATTAGGCATTGCTATTTCTTGTGAGCTAAGACAGATAGGTCTAGCTAGCTCTTGTGGGAAGAGACGAATATGCCTATCTAATTTTGGTAGGAAGCGACGAATGGCCCTGGATAGTCCTGGCAAAAAGGGTATAGTTGGTCGGGAGGCCCAGAAGACCTCTCAACAAGATACAGAGCTCTCTCAAGTAACAACGCCTCCACCCAATATACCATTCCCATCACCACCACCCAGCGCATCTATAATAGACCCTTTATTACGAATTGGGATGTTTTCCAACAGCGCTCAGCATACTTGGAAGCGCGTTGTCAAACACGGCCAAAGGTGGTGGAAACTAAAGTTAACTCCCGAAGTAGCTCGACTGGATGCAGTGCACAACAACAAGCAGTACCACTCCATGTTACTTAAGCCCCTGGCCGCAACCCCCAACCATCACATAATTGCTATACTAAAGGAGTGGGATGGGCTGGATTATATCAGGTACATCAACGACCTAAGTCTATTGCGAAGAATCAAAAGCACGATTCCCGTGCGTATTATTGGCATAGAAATATCCTACAGAGAAGCGGCAGCAGCCATGATGCTCTTCCTAATGAAAATTCTAGACGTTCCTGAGCTTATCATCGACTGGTATGACACCGGCGTTAACACCCACCCAATTGCGCTAAATCAGTTTGATGTGCTACTAAGCGATATTCCCAACAAAATGGCGCAGCGGCTGACCAGGGCCAATGTTGTCTACGGCGTAGGCAAACACTGGGAACCATTTTTTGAGTTAGTCGCAACGAAGTATAACATATATCTACCGAGTCGAGGGCGTGACCTGCTAATGGGATTGTATTAAGTGGATGGTTAAGAGCAAAACCGTGTTTGGTTAAAGTTAAGAGGCACATCTAATAAAAAGGCTAGTATTCAGTTGAGTTATGTTGAGTTGTGTTGAGTTGAGTTGAGTTAAGTTATGTTGAGTTGTGTTAAGTTTTGTTGAATTGAGTTAGTACGCAGTTGATATTCAGTTAGATTTGAATTAAAAACTAAACTCAATACTAACCCAATTCAAAGTGAGTAGTTTTGAAAAGAGAAGGGTTATGTTTTAGTTTTAGAATATGATATTGAGTTGGTATTATGTTGGTTTGGTATTATGTTAATATTAGATTGGGTTAGGTTAGGTTAGGTTAAGTTAAGATATGGTGTGGTGTAATGTAGTGTGGTGTAGTGTGGTATGGTGAGTTAAATGAAGATGGAAAGACAAAGGAATGATTAAGTGGGCAAAACAAAGAGATATGTTTATTGGGTTAAGTGAGTTTAATCACAGAACGGAAGTTATTGCTGGGGGTTGTATTAAGGTCACGAATTAAGTTGGCTGGGTTTTCATAGGGCAAATAGAAGAGGTACTGGTCGTCTTTCCTGGTTGTGGCCGACGACAAATGGGTATTAGTAGTGGTGTTGCAGGCATAGCCGTCAGAAGAGTTAGCTATGATCGAAGAAATGTATACCAGTTGATTATAGCACCTAAGACTAACTGACTGTTTGCAATAGGGGCACTGCTCGATTTGATCATTGAATTCTGAATTTCTCACAAGCATGTACATGCATTTAATGCAGGCACAATGTCCACATTCAAAAAACCATACAGCAACGATACTAACCTCGGCAGCAGATACAGCTTTTAATAGGCTAATAGCCCTGTTATTTTGTTCTGTGGCGGTATCTGTCATCAGCATGGAATACGCGAAAATCTCATTGTGGCAAATCGAGCAATCCAGTTTATCGCCATGGCACTTGTCTTTGACAAGCTTTGCTACGATTCTCTCAATGGGTGTATTCTTGAACTTCTTGTGGTTTGGGATGAGTTGTTCAATCTTTTCGCAGTGGGTGTAAAGAAGATATAGTACTTTGTATGGAATGGCGATGGCCATTGGGTTAGTATTGGGTTCAATCGGCTCTAGACGATTATGATAAATCCAAAGGTGCAGATTAATTTGGTCGGAATCAAGGGCGATGCCTCCTATTTGGATGGATTTAAGCAAAGGTAAGCCTGTGATCATATATTGGCGCAAAGGTATAGCAGACCGTTCTTCTTCTGACAACTTAATATTTGCCAGCCATAGCACAGTTAGATTCTTAAAACGATAGGACGCCCAACGGATAATAGTAGCCAGGTCGGTTGTGGCTAAGGACTGGCCGCTGTCGAAACACAGGCATAGCTTTTCAATGGAGCTTTGTTCGGGTTGAGGTATTATATTGGATTGGCAATTGGCAAGGTCGGTCTGTAAGAGCGCGTGGGTGGTGTTATGAAGAGTAAGCTCATTCACATTAATGAGGCTGTTTTGATTGGGATAGGTTGTTGAAGTTGAGATGTATTCGTTGAATAAAAGACTTGGAGTCTGAATGCCAATAGCAGCGAATGCCCGCAAAGCTTAAATGTGTTGCCCAATGTTGATGCATCCTGGGACCATGAACAGTTTGTGCAGGCCAAGTTCTTGAGTTGTTTTCTTTCCTTCATAGGCCTTTATATAGTTAGGCAGTGAGAATTCGTCAGTCTTATTTCCCTGGCTAGCCGGCTCGGCCTCACTTAAGCCCAGAAGGCCAACAATCACGAGTTTGGTGATATTACGAGCCTCCTCATGAGCAAGTATTTTGACAACAGCAAGGTTGTTGAGCTGGTGGTTGCGGATATAGATCTCTATCGGACAAACAAACTCATAATTGTCTAGTATCCAGTTAAAAAGACACTCGGGCGTATTATCAAGCACCAATTTGCTGATATTGAGTTGGTATTTGAGGCCAGGGGACTTGGCCATATGCAGTGCTTGCAGGTCGAAAGGGCAATTAACACTGCCAAATGTATTTGAGATTTGAAGCTCAGTGGCATTGATGTTTCGGAATAGCATTAACAACTGAGTGCATTGGTAGGCATTTTTCAGTGATATAGTTTTGTTTCCATCGAGGTTGATAGTGGTGTAGCGCAAATGCTGGCAGAAATAATCCTTGTAGTAGTCGTAGCACTCAAAATCAGATGAAAAGTTAACTGGTTCCATAAGCTCAATCGTGCCACTGAGTGCATCGCCACAGCACATAATTGGGTTGGGTTTCTCCATTTCTGGGAACTTCGTGCCAGGGAAAAGTGCATTCAAGGTGTCCTGTAAATTGGTTCGGCCGATCTTTGAATAAACCAGTTCGACTTCATCAACTGTGATGCTTAACTTGGCCAAGGCGGTGGGGGTAAAAAGAGCTTGGTAGTATGATAAGAAGTTACATGGCACGCCATCGTTGAATTCACAAATAAGCTTTTTGGCTTTGATCCAAGACGGGGCAGTGTGCTCGAGTTTGGATATATAATTCATTTGTTTGATAGCCTCGTTGCCAGCATCAAGGAGCAAAAGAGTATGAACGTTGATTGTTGTTTGGGGATGGAGTCTATCAAATGGATAGCTAGTCATAATAGTATCCCATTTGACGGCTAGAGTTAATTCGGGATGTTTATCAGCTGTATTTTCAAGTCCGATAATTTGATCATATAGCTTATCTGAACATTGGGTTAGAACCATGCCACATCTAACAGGAGATTGTTGAAGAAGCCCGAAATCAAGTTTGGCATCGTTCTTGCAGCCCCACGGGTCAAATCGAAGAGTATAGTCTTGTTTAAGAGACAGGCGGTTAACAAAAGAGATGTCCTGGCCCCAATCACCGACTAATTTAAGACCTGAAATTGGCCGTAACAAAAGAACCTTACAAGCTAAGAATTTCTCAAACACCTCGCTCAATCTATAGCAACTGAATAGTGTACACGGCAGCATATAATTGATCTGGCTATACGTATTTTGAGCCTCTTCTCGGCAGACCATAGGGTGGGTTAGTATTGGGTTAGTATCTAGATGGTCCATTTCCAAGTTCGGATTCAATTCAAGGTGTAGCTGCTGACACTCAAACAAGTTGACGGCCCGAGATAGAATTTGCATGTTCAGTATATGATCAGCTTGATTATTTTCGATATACATTATCCAAACTACCTCTGCCTTAAATTCAATGATATTTTGTAGCTCTTCCAAAACCGCCTTAGCCCTTATAGAATCTAGCTCAGGCGGCAGTGTAAACTTAATTTCGTCATTTAACAACTCTACGGTATATTTGAGTGGGGTTTCTTGTGCTGCAATACGTTGGGCTAAATTCGCATCAGAAACAGGTTCGAATGGGTATTGAGGGGAGCAAAACGTAATGTTTAGCTTTGACTCGTCATGAGGACATTGCCAACTAAACCCGATGGAGTTTAGAACTTCAATTTTCTCTTTGGCTATCTGGTTTGAAGCATTAACCACCACAGTCCAATTCAACAATACGAGTAAGATTGCTAGACCCAAAGTAGTGCGCCGTATAAGATTGGCATTGTATTGAGTTGGTATTGATTGGGTTAGTATTGGTTTAGAGTATTGAGTTAGTATTGATTGAGTTAGTATTGATTGAGTTAGTATTGGGGTATTCTGAGCGTATAGAGATGATAGGTTCTTCATATATAGAGATAGCGTCATAGTTTTTGTAAATAAAATTAGAGATAAGCAAATTAATAACATTAAATTGACTCAAAATGACAAACAAGATAGTGATTTCGGTTGGTTTTGTATTGAGTTGAGTTGGTGTGGTGTGGTGTGGTGTTTGATGAGTAAATACTAACTTAACTCAACTTAACTCAACTCAACTCAACTCAACTTAACTCAACTCAACTCAACTCAATCCAATCATTGTGATGGTTGCATTTGAAATTTAATATAATGTAGAGATAAGAAAAAGAAATGTCTGGAATTAGTATTAGGTTAGTATTTGGGTGGTTTTGTTGTGTTCTGGTGGAGCTTAGTGTGGTTTTGACTAGTACAAATAACAACATAGCCCAATCCAACTATATTCAATCTAGTTTTAAGCTAATGGCCGCCTTAAAAGAGTTTGGACTAGTTAACGAGACATCCAACTACACTTTGATAGAAGAGGGAGATGAAAGCAACATAAAAACCCGCACTAAATGGACTCTTAACTTCGCAGCAGCAAATGGATCACATCTTGGCAATACACTTAACCCGTGCACTGTTGGGTTGATGGTCAGCTCGGATATTACACTCCTGACAGAGACAAATACAGGATTTGAAGAAAGGATTCAAGACGAGAGTCCGGCGCGGATTGTAATAGACAAAGATTTCATCGAGTTCTCGGGGAGAGCAACAGACAAAGAATCCCGGCCGGCCAAAGCCCTATTACTCCTATTACAAGCCAAAAATCCGCTCGAGATCCGAATAGAATGGATAGATAACAGCAATTTGTCAACCAGTTATTCCCAATGCAGTGCTTGTTTCAATTCAGCACGCACTATCAGTCTAGTAGAGACATACACGCTTAAATTCCATACTATTATACAAGACGATCTCAGCTTGTGGATGACATTAGCCGAAAAAATCAGGCAAGAATGGGGTGTTGAAGTATTGGGTCTGAACGAGTGTTTATGGAAGGAAAAAGAAGATACAACCAAATTAAGACGCGGCCTAAAACGGAAACTAGCCCAATAGGAAAAAGAGGTTTAGTATTGGGTTGGTTTGGGTTAGTATTTGGGTTAGTATTTGGGTCAGAATAAATACGGCTTTAGCAATAAAGCATTATTGCCTTGAATGGCATCAACAAACAAAATAGCAGTTATGAACTCAAAGAGTGCGTGTTAGTATTGGGTTGAGTTAGTGAATATTGTTTTTGAAATTTAAGAGAATTTAGAGATAAGAAGTAGGTATTGGTATTGGGATTGGGATTGGGATTGGGTTATGTGTGCAGTGTTAAGGTGGGTTTGGGTTGGGTTGAGTTGGGTTAGGATGGTTTGTGGGAGAGAAGAGTGAGATAGTCAGATTGGGTTGGGTTTGAGATTGAAAAGATCAAAAAGATTGTGGGATAGTGAGATAGCAAATTAAAAAGCTAGAAGAGATAGAAAAAATCGCATGTTCAGGTTCTTAAAGGCAATGCGTGTTAGGAGATCTTATCTTTGGATTAGTGTTTTGTTATTTGAGATGTTAGGGTCGGGGTGGCTGAATATGAAGGTGGCTTGTATTGATGATGCAGAGCATCCAGAGCAATCGAACTCTTCTCTCTCTAATCCAATAATACCCACTCCCACAGCACAAACACCGCCTTATCCAATACCACCAGAACCTACAACAATACCTAGTCAATTAGCCCAGCGACTAGTAGACTTAAGCGTGATTAGGAACCCACACAAACACACCTGGATGCTCCACCGAACCCAATACAATACTTTCCAGTGGCTTCTTACGCTTAATCCAGAGCAAACAATTCCAAACAATGACCCAGCACTTGGCCCAACCCAATACATTATTGCTCCTAGGTGGTGGAAAGAAAGCGACTACAACAGCTGTTACCAGGATCTGGCTCCCCTGCAGAGGATCGTAAGTACCAGGCGCATGGAGATTCTAGACATAGAGCTGAAACACGGCCGTACAGCCTTGAAGCTACTTCGTTTGCTGCTGCACATTCTAGACACACCCCGATTAGACGTATACCTGAACAGACAGCCCCAGCACAGCAAAGACCCTCGTTTCGACTTGACGCATGCTGACGTAAATTGCCTATTCGACGATCTACCAGAAGGCATAAGAGACCGAAGAACTTATTTATGCATGCAGCTGCCAAACACCGCCGATTCCGGGATAGATATCCTCTGGTTGGCCATCCAAGCGTACGAATGGGTTGACTTAACATTAAGAAGTGCTTGGGCTAGGCTTATCGCTCTTTGGTAGGGTTGGTGTGGTGTTCAGAGTATCCACCGTCATTCTTTGCTTGCATTGAGTTGGTATTGAGTTGGTATTGAGTTGGTATTGGGTTAGCTGCATTGCAGTATGTTTCGCAGGAGATAAGCACAAGCCAACATATCTTTATTCTTCATCAGCAGTTCCAGGAACAAGAGGTCAATCAAATAGGATTAGAGATTGGTAGAGTACAACTCCAAACTATAAATACAGTATGTATTTGGCTTAAGAAGATGCCAACTCAATACTAACCCAACGTTGTTACTTTATTCAATAAATCCTATGGGCGTCCGGTTTGATTATGTCTTAATTTAGTATCGTGCCCCGGGGAAGGGATAAGTGCCTTTTAACCAAACATATTCGACTAAAGACCGATTTTGAAGTGGTTAGTATTGAGTTGGTATTGAGTTGGTATAACTTAAGTTCTCTTTATCGTACGTCATCTTGAGATAGTCTGTAAACTCATAATATAAATGCTAATCTGAGCTTGTGATTTCTACTTCGAGATTTAATCGCGTTCGCTGCGATCAGTGCCAGGCCGATAAACATTGCAGCACTACACTTCTGTAGATAACTCACTTTGAAGTGGAGGCCGGCGAGGACACCACATTTAGTATTGGCTGAAAACGGTGTGTAGCCACTTACCAACACGACACTAATCCAATAAGAAACATGCCGGATTCTTCAGGTAATTATTTGTCTTGCTCTTCAAGGGACTAATTCTTATCCCATAATATGATGTTGATTTTAAACTTGTAGCCACATTACCAACTACTAACCCAAAACGTCATGTCGCTCAGATGGTATTGCACAACAAATACACACTTAATATTCACACAACACCAACCCAATTATCTTTTGAATCAGTGATGGTTGCTTTTGAAATTTAATAAAATGAAGAGATAAGAAAAAAGAATGTCAGGAATGAGTTTGAAGTTAGTATTGGCGTGGTTATGTTTTGTTTTGATGAGATTTGGTGTGGTATTGGGTGGTACTATAGTTCTCAGTGCTAGCTCTGATGAAATTAGGTTAGCATCAATTAGCAAACTCTGGTTTGATACGATCTATGAATTGTTAGGAAACATTCCATATGTAGGAAAGGATGAATTTCATTTATCTGGCCTAGATAGCTTCAATAGCGAAATGCCACAACACCAAATACACATTATGAGGGAAAGAATGACTACATGTTTGGAATGGATGCGTATAATGGTTCAACCTTTGATAGGAAACCGGTTGATAGAATCTCGCAATCCAGATGGCACCATAGGCTGGATTCTTGAGATGAATTCAAAGAAGGATCGAATGCGAATGGTAGAAGACATGCAGGTATATGAACTAATAGACTATTTGTCTACTGTGACAAAAATACCAGGCGTATATAAAGTTGGCATCATATATTTCGATCAGACACTAAAACTAGGAACTAACGGCCTTTATATTCCCCCAACTCCCAAGCCAACTAGTACTAAGCCAAATGAGGAATCGATAATCTACAAACAGTGTCAAGAAGACCTACAACCCCTGAAAAAGATCACTAGTCCGGATCTGATAAGGATTGTCGGAGAGACAAAGGAAAATGAGATGCTAGACCAACTTGAGCTGCTATTGTTTCTATTGCGGATTACGGATGTTCCTACAATCGAAATAGACTGGACGGACGTGAGTACGGCCCCGCTTGATGTGAAATTAATAGATAGGTTTAAGCCTTTACTGGAGAACATCCCCGCGGAGCTGAAAAAGAAAGAACTTGTTATTAAGATCGCTACTTTATGTAATCATGTGTTTTGGGGCGCTTTCAGTGAGTTTATCAGAGAAGACTACGAGATTAACCCAGTATGTAAAATCTTATCCAGTGCTGCCGCCTAATGCCAACTCAACTTAATAAAAGTCTAGTTAGTATTATGATGGTTTGGTTTGGTTTGGTTTGGTATTGTGTTGAGTTGTGTTGTGTTGAGTTAGTGACTATTGTCTTTGACATTTAAGAGAATTTAGAGATAAGAAATAGGAGTTGGTATTGGTATTGGTATTGGTGTTGGTATTGGTATTGGTGTTGGTGTTGGTATTGGGTTATGTGTGCAATGTTAAGGTGGGTTGAGTTGGTTTTAGTTAGGCTTAATAAATTGGGTTTGAGTTTGAGTTTGGGTTAATGTGGTACTGAGGCGGCAGATGATCAAACTGATTATTAGGCGGTGCTGGGATTGCAAATTAAGTAGAGTTTGAGATAAGAAAAGGTATGATGATGAGGTTGTGGCCGAAAAAGCTGTCCTGGCTTAAGTGGGTTGTTGTCTGGCTAGTTGTTGTTTTAATATGTTGGCTGCTTAAGACATACGGAGTGTACGATTGGGTTTATGCGCGCTTAATTCGCAAGCCAAGTGATGCTACTCCAGATAATCTGACTAACCCAACTAAACCGACTAAAGTAGATCAAGACACCCAAACAGAGCCTATAACAACTCTGAATGACAAACAGAAGAAGGAAAGTAGAGAGAAGAAACAGCCAGGAGCCAAAATCAGTGAGAGTACAAGTTCTGCTGGCACAAATACTAACTTGTCTTTGGATTCTCAGTCCAACCCACCACAACTCCACCCAACCCAAGCCAACTCTATACCAAGTAGTGATGCTAATGCGGAGCCAAAAAGCCAAGAATCGGCAAGAAGTGCCAGTTCAACTGAAGTGGGTGTTGGGTTAGAAGAGGGGCCAGAAGAACAAGTGCGGCATTTAGCACCTGTTCAAGAGGAAGATGAGGATGTGATGGAAGAGGAGGATGTGATGAATGTGATGGAAGAGGATGAGAAGCGGTCAGGAGAGGGGCCAGAAGAACGAGTTCAGCACTTAGCACCTGTCCAAGAAGAAGATGAGGAAGAAGAAGTGAGTTCTCAACCATCAACCAATACTAAACTAACCCAAACCCAGCCACCCAACCCAACAACACCAGATGCTCCACTAGTTAAGTGTCTGCAGGAAATCCACATGATTAAGAAGCACGAAGACCACCGCTGGGTATATGACTCTAATCTATCTAAGTGGGACCTTTACTTAGATGTGAATGCAGTTCCCAGACCCGCTAAAAATCCAGAGTATCTTGTACTCTATGCAACAAAAAAGATACCCGCACCTCGTTGCCAGGAGTACATTGAACAGCTTAGCTTGCTAAAAAGAGTCAGATGCAGTATTCCCGTACACGTTAACCTCCTAAAGAAGTGGCAGGGCCATGAAGTATTCAAATTGATTCTTATTCTGCTGCGGACTGTCGAGGCCCCCAACTTAATAATTGCGTTAGGAGTAGAGAGCTTATTCGACCCCAGCACAATACAAACGGAAAAGGATCTAGTAGGGCTAAATTACTTAGTAGATGGCATTCCAGAGGAAATGAAGACGAGAAGGACTTCTTTAGTAGCTAATACAAAGCGTATAGGTACAAAATGGCGTAGTTTCTTTGGAATGATCAAACCGATCTATAACCTATGTAATGCCCACCCAGACAAACCTAGCAGTACTAAACCCAACCCAACTCAACCCAATACTAGCCCTGTACCAACCCCGTAATTAAGTAAGCGATGGGCGTTGCTAGCATTAATTTGCATCCTAACTTAACTCAACTTAACTCAACCCAACTTAACCCAACTCAACTCAACTTAACCTAACACAAGTTGAGATAAGTAGATTAAGAGCAGAAATACAATCAAAGTGATCAACAGGTGAAAGGAAAGAAGATTTAAGGAGATCTGGAATAGGAAGAGGCATGACAGGACGACATGCAAAAAGACTCGAGATGGCTTTGGGTGTACTGAGTGTAGTGCTGTTTTTCCTTCTGCTTCTACGAGTAATATCACTAACTTCAAAACCAGCGAGGCCAGATCCAGGATGTCTAATCTATGTAGGAGACAGAGAAGGACTAGGACTAGGATCAAGTGGTGTATCGAGTGATACATTGTATGGTGCTAGGAGACCGATGACAAAAGGGCTTAGTGTTGAGGACTGGGAAGAGTTAGGGTTGGCAAGAGGACTTAAGCCCAGTTCTGGACTTAGAGATAGACCAGAATCACCAGTTGAGTCACCACCAACTCAACCTAACCCATCTCAACCCAAACCTTCCATTTGTACTTCTATTTCAACTTCCATTTCAACTCCTACTTCGACTGCTAAACCTAAACCCACCACGACTCAACCCAACTCAATACTAAACCCCTAGCTCAATAAATCACAGTTTAATATGATATTACAACTTCACAACTTCACAACAATCAATCCTAACTCAACTCAGATCAGGAGAAAGAAGACAAGAAGTCCTCACCAGCCGGCACAACAAGCACTTCGCCGAAACCTAGAGGCCCTAACTCAACTCAACCTAACCTAACTCAACTCAACCCAAACCTAACTCAATACTAACACAAGAGACCGCAAAAGCCATAAAACAACAATTATGTATTGAGTTAGTATCAGTACTGGTTGCTTATCTACTAGTTAGCTATTGCTGGTATTAAGTTGAGTTGGGATTGTGGTCTTATTGGGTGGTTATTTACTGCTGATTTATGAGTATAACAAGTAAGTAACTTATCTTATCTCTGTTAAGTTATTGCAGAAACCCAAACTAATACTAAAGTAAGTAGTAGTAGATAGCCAGAGGCAAAATAAAAGCAAAGTCAAAGTGTGCCAAATCAAAAAAGAACAGACATAGTATTGTATTTTATTTTGC